AGAGTTATGAGTTTATTGGAGTAGCTGTAGTGACTCGTAAAACACCGTTTTGTAAGAAGTTATGGTCACCGAGCTGTCTTTGCCTTGTGCTTTGTGTGTTTGGAGCTTGGTTGTGCCTACACCTGTTTGTATAAGGTTGCTACTGTTCTGTCCCTGTTAGGCCTACGAGGCGTTTATTCTCTTTTAGGCAGTTAAAATGTCAGTGCTGCTGTTTGGTTGTGTGAGGTTCCAGCTGTTTTCCATCCATTGTTCTGTCTTGATGCACGCTCAATCATCCAGGTAAGGAAATCCCCAAAGGTTGATTCTGTTCATCTGGACGTTTTCAGTCACTCATCCAGGTGACGTCTTCAGTCTCAGCTGACTGCAGGTTTCGCCAATATTATAAACAGTACATTTGCATAATGACTGAAACCAGCCCACTGAAGGAACAATGGGCTGGGAGGTCAGTTGGTCATGTGAATTTGCATATTCATGATCAAAAAACTGATCAAAAAAAGCTGCATTCTGCAGGCTCATTGGGCACCGCTGAATCATCTGACCCTGAGGCTGGGTCAGCTTCTGAGCAGCAATGAGAAATTAAACTGAAAAACAAAAAATAAAATATCAATGAAATTAACTGGAAAGGTTTAGGCTCAGTATGAGTAACATAAATGCTGACGGTCTGGCCTGTGTCTCTCCTGGGCCTTGGCTTTCTCCTCATTGCATGAGTAATCTGCATTTAGTGCCCCAGGGTAGGATTCGCCCTGTAAGCATAAAGCAAACAGTCTGATGCTCATTTAGCTGATAGCTTGGAAGACCAACTCAGACTGTGGCATTTAGCACAGATGCAGAGATACCTGATGTCCCTGAAGTTCTAGAAGTGATGTGTGACATGGGGTATTTCGGTATTTGGATTTCCATAACACTTACAACTAAGATGGGTGTGGCACCTGACCTACCCCAGGCATTACCCATTTCCAGAGTTTGGAGAGAAATGCACTTCTGTCATTTCAATCTGGGTAAATTCTTTTACACCAGGGTTTCACAGGTCTTTGAAACACGGGAAATGGTGCAACTGCATGTTTCAGCTGTGCTGATGGGAGAAACCTTCCTCCTTTGCTGGTCTGGTTGTGTAAGTTTCCACCTGTCGGCATTCTGCGGGACTCTGCTACTGAACAAAATCCATTTTTGCCAACCAGGAAGAGGTTTGTGCTTCTTCTGGGCTCCATGGGTCACTGCAGTTATAGATTTTGTAAGAATGTTTCATCTGTGTTTGCTCTGACTTTACTTTTAAAGGCTAAGACGAAGTATGTGTGGTATTCTGCGTCAGCAAACTAACTTTAAAAGTGCTTCTCCAGGCACTGGAGCTGCTGAGTCACCGAGTGGGACATGCTGGCTGGGTTGTTGCTGCTGTAAATTTGGTGAGTATGATAAAATTGTAACGAGTAAATATTTTGAATTTACTAGTATAAATAAGGGGGGACAAGGTTAAGGATGTTTGATTCAGGTGCTGTCCAGGTTCTCGATGGGAATCCCGCCTCAGACGCTTTGTTCCTACAGGTTGTCACACAACCCGTAAGGACAAAGTGTCTGTTTTGGTTTTTGTGTTGCGGGTTGTGCAGGAGCTGAGGAGCTATTGGCTGCATGACCTACACCTGGGCCTGTGAGCTGGGTTATCAAAGCTTCCTCCTGTCTGCTAAAACCTGTTATCTTTTGCTCACTGCCCGGATTTATATACCAGATTCCTGAATTAGCGCTTAGCTACAGCATGCATAAGAAAAAGGAGACGTTTTTAAGGCTCCGTCATACACCTCTGCATGCTTTACACTACTGACAAACAAGTTCTGTTTGTTCTATGCGGTAGTATTAGTTCCCACCTTGTCCAGCCACTCTGCTTTGTTGGGAAAAGAAATGCATTACATTCATCATCAGAATCATTAAATCAAAGTAAAACTACAATTATGCGATTCTCTAATTGTAACACATGTTCAGATAGATGACGGGGACGCCGGAACAGTGGCATAAAATAAGCCTGAAGTTTCATAAAACATCCATAAAGTTCCAAAAGGCATTTTAATATCAAGTTACTGACTAAAGCTAAACACATTCTGGAGCACAAATCACTCACGTTTTCTGTTTACCGGTTTGACTGCTTGAATTATTGTGTTTATCTATTTCCTCATCATTTTCTAAACTCTTTTAAAGCAGATGACAGTTTGAGAGGGGAAGCGTGTCCTTACTTCACTAAAAGATTTTGCATCTCTGTGTGAGGAGTGAAGCTGTGGACCGGATTGAGTGATAAACTGAAGCGTGTCCAAGCATGACCCAGTTTAAAAGCAGCACAAATTTTTCTTTTTGCAACGTAGAATGACCTTTGACCCACTACTTACACACTACATGTGTGTATATCTGTAAATACAGGCTTTGCTTTGGTTTTGGTGTTTTAACATGTTCATAATTAAACCTCATATCTATATTTAGCGATATCTAAACTGGTGTACCCAGTAATATTATACTGGTGCTGCGAAGGCTGTCCCACCGGTTCATAAAGAATACAACGATGAGTCAGAGACTTCTTCTTCAGAGACTGCTTCTAAAAAAACACTGTCAAAGCTCTTTGCCTGTGAGTTTCCTGTCCAGGCCTGTGAACAGGAAGAGGTTGAGTACAACTCTCCTCAGAGCTCTGATCGTCTCCTCTGTTTGAGCAATTCAACTTAAATTCAGAGGCATAAAAATTCCCAAAAACCAATAATGCAAAAGAATCAAAATTCACAGTTCAGCCAAGTATCACAATAAAGTAACACAAAGATGGATACATATCAAGCTTCCTCTCAGTCTTCCTTGTTTGACTGCAAGTTTGTCATCACTGAGACTGTATTTGGTTACGATCTATCTCGGCGCTCTGACAGTTAAGCGGCATCCTGCCAGTTCGTAATCTCCGTTTAGGGCCAGATAACGTTCTAATCTTTGGATTTTAGTGTCTTTTTTTCCTAGTATTTCAGATAGGGTTCTTTGCATTGTGTGGAAACAGGGGTGTGTCAGACTGGTCAGGGGATATTTGAGGGGAGGCATTTAATCAGTCAGGCAGTTAGTTCCTCTTCTCTGGGCTCGACTCCAGCGTTTTGAGGACTTTAGACTGGAGGGTTCACTGGAACAAGATTTAAGGTTAAATAAAAACAAATCCAGGGCTCTCCTTTGAATGTAAATGATCGCTGTGTATCTGCATATTATGTTAGGAATTTGTTGGTGGTGTTATTAGCAGAATGCTGCTTCTTTCTTTATTGCTCGCTCTTTAACCTGGAGTCAGTCCATACGATCTAATTGCCTGGTCAGCATTCAGTAACACCAACAAGAATAGAAAGCTTTTTGCTGTTAAGTAACTGAAGATGAACTAATTTAGATTAAACACACATTGCTTGGGCAGCATGAAGGTTACTGCCATTGCCTCATAGCAAGAAGGTCCTAGTTTGAATCTGCTGTCTGACCAGGGCCTTTCTGTGAGGAGTTTTGTGTGTTCTCTCCACGTACTCTGGCTTCTTCCCACTGTCCAATGACATGCAGTTAGTGGGGTTAGGTTAACTGGTGATTCTAAGTAGATAGGTCACATAGGTGTGAATGGTTTCACACAGAAGGGCGTCCCCTGCCTCTTGCCCTTTGGCAGCTGGTATAGGCTTAAGCTCCCCTGCATCCCTGATTTGGATGAACAGAATAAAGTGGATGGCTAGACATCTTTCTCTAATCTGAATTTGTTCTGAATGAACACAATAACATATGTTTTAGTGCCGTAGATGCTTACAGGTCAGACAGGTTTGGGTAGTGTAATATTATTCCTCGTCCAAACATTTGAAGCTGGCTTTCCTCACGTTTGATGTCACCTTATGAAATTTCTGCAAACCTACTTGGGCTCACTTCTGGTTTGAACAAGTTGAACACGCTGACAGCCACAAAGCTCAATTCAGCGAGTTATATGCGGTGCATTCTTCACATAACTACACTAATAGTTATTTTGAGTGTTTTATTCTGAAACTCCAGAGTGGGTGAAAAAGCAATCCTGTAAGTTATTGTCCAACACAAACCTAACTGGATGCTGCGATTGGGCAACAAGAGAAGATTATCTGAAGATGAGACGCATCACCAAGCAACGCATAAGACAGAGTGCTATGTACACAAAGCAGAGACATCATGTTGCAGATATTTAACAGGCTCATTTTCTGGGTCTCTGCAAACATGAGCTTAAAAAACCCCAGAACAATTATATCAGCCACCCGCAATGTTTCTCTGGTTACAAAAAGCTGAGCCCTTGAGGCATCAGCAGTGGCATGTTAGCTTTAGAGTACGATGAAAAGTTAAAGTGGTCTGAGGAATTAGCCAACAGGCTGGAATTGCAGGTAGCACATCAGCGCCCCTTCTCACTCATTCATCATCTTGGAGCCTGTGATCCCCCTCAGGGGCAGTTCCCATGGTCTGCGCCAAGCTGAATATGCTCCTCAGCAGAGCTGAGGCATAAAAATAATAATAACACTCCAGGTGAGGCTGCAGATGCAGACACGCCAACTGCGCCTGACATAAAGGCTTATAATGCGCCTGCACACGTGCAGCTGGAGCAGTCGGCAGAGACACGCCGACTGCGAAACACGACACGAGCTGTCGAGAGAACCTTCTCAGAAAGCACTTCTTGAATTTTGCTTTAGAGGAACAAGACTGCACAAAAGATATGTTGTGGCGAGGAGAGTGGAGTGACTTTGTTGCACAAACACTCGTGCTGATGCTATCAAAGTTTCGTTCCCATTTTGAGTGAACGAGTTAAATCTGTGCTTTCTCTTGCTGCAAAACATTTAAGAACATGGAGATAAATTGGGCTATTGCACAAACATTACCTCGAAAATTATGCACAATTTAGCTAACCATTAAAGCACGAGGAACTATAGTTAGTTTGATCTTACCACGTCTGACTTTTCATGCATGTTGTTTTTATTTGATCTTCTTTCTTACAAAATGCAAAAAGGAAACAAACACCAGGGTCCAACAAAAGATTTTCAGATGTTTAATGGATGTTGCACTGATATGTAACAAGTTAAAGAACACTGAACGCTTTCTTCCTAAAAAGCTCGATGAGTCAGTTTTTGTGAATCTATTAAAAATAACTTACAGGCATGCCAGCTGCAGTAATGATCCTGTAAAAGGATTCCAAGAGGACACGGGACACATGCTTATTACGTACAAAGAAAACAAAAGAAACCAAAATGTGTTTGTTAGGTAAAAAAAAAAGTAAACAACATTTTTAATTCAAACACAAAAATGGTATTAATACTTTCTATTTACAGTATGTATTTACAACAATATTACAGTGCTTGTAGGGCACAATTAAAAAAATTAAAAGACTGGAATACTATCCCATGCCTATTTGTGAGGCAGCAGAGGATTAGCATGGAAAAACACCAAACCAAAACAGTCCTGTACAGTGTTTTTGCTCCTGTTAGCAGGGAGCGGAGGCACAGTGTGCACTGATGGATTGTGGGTAGTCTTTGTCACCGTGCTCCGTCAGTTTGAGAATGACAACTTTCCTCTGGAGGTGCCTAGCTTCTGCTGGTGCGGGCTCTTCGGCTGCTGGTTGCACAGAGCTCTCTGTAACTAAGTCCTGGCAGTCCTGCGGCAGCAGCATAGTAATGATGTTCGAGTGTCCGCCCTGCACTGCCAGGTGTAAAGGGCTGAGGCCCTGCTCATCTGACAGGCTGCCACCGTCTGGACAGTGATTGAGCAGCTCTTTCAGGACTTCACAGTGTCCACCCTCTGCCGCCATGTGGCAGGGCGTGCGTAGGGCGCTGTTAGCTTTGTAGGGGTCTGCCCCTTCTTCTATCAGCATCTTGACTGTGGGCAGGTGGCCCCGCTGGGAGGCTAGGTGGAGGGGAGTGAGTCCGTGAGCGCTCTGAGCGTTGATATCTGCCTGGTGTTTGATCAAGAGCCGAGAGGTGCTGGTGTGACCCGTTTCAGCCGCCACATGTAGCGGCGTCTTTGATCCAGCTGATGTCATGTGGACGTCGGCTCCCAGCTCAATCAGGATCCGTGCCACTCGATACTGCCCCCTCTGAGAAGCCAGGTGCAGCGGCGTGCGCCCATCTGTCGTTTGACCATCTACGTCGGCGCCGGCTTGCTTAACCAGCAGTTTGACGATGCCCAGATGCCCTTGCCAGGCAGCATAGTGGAGCGGCGTCCAGTTGTCCTTGCCCTTGATCTGAACATCAGCACCACGGCTCAGCAGCACCCTGAACACATTTTCCTGGCCATGCTGGCAGGCCACGTGAGCTGGCGTGCGTCCCTGTCCGTCGGTCTCGTTGATGGCCGCCGCCCGGTCGAGCAGCAGGCGCGTGATAGCCTCGTCGCCATTTTGGGCTGCCCAGTGCAAAGCTGTGTACTGGTCCTCGTCTTTGGCATTCACGTTGGTGCTGCGCCGGCCGAGCAGAAGCTCTGCCAGTGACTTCAGGTGCTTCTCTGTGGCCAGGTGAAGGGGTGTGGAGCCGCGGCCGTTGGCGAGGTTAGGATTTGCGTTGTTCAGGAGGAGGAATTTGACAGCCTCCTCGTTACCCAAGTTGATGGCATGGTGGAGCAGACTGTCTCCTCCGTCAAGGAGAAGGTCGACATCCTGAGGCTGGAGGATCTTCATCAGCTTGGCAGTGTCTTTGTTCCTGATGGCCTCACACAGTTTTCGTTTCTGGACCTCAGCAGAATCTGAGCAGTAAGGAGGAAAAGTGATAAATAATGATACATTTTTTCATGTTACTTTATATAATTCACAGGAGAGGTCTTTGATGCACGCTTACCGTATGTGCCTTCTTTCTCAAAAGACAGCGTGATAGAGTCTTGGGACGAGAAGGCAGAATCTGCAGAGGAAATCCCAGACAGTCTCTTGCAGGTGCTCTCTTTGCTGTGACAGCTGTCCTCCTTCACGCGATCAAAGCTCCTGGAGATCCCAGAATCCACCTGGCTCAGAAGCTCAGACAGGCTGTAATCCTTCTCGGGCAACATGGCTGACTTTGGACGCACTGGCTTGTTGTCATTAACCTGTAGAGCAAAAAAGGCAGGTAGGGTAGTGCGGTTTGACACAATGTTACAGTAGACAGTGTGTAACACATACGAAATGGGTGTGAAAGTTCACACAGCTGATTTATCTAAACACTACTGATAGGAGCCATCAGTTCCTGTGAACAGGATGTTTGTTTCCAGTCACGTACACAACAGCACACAGAGTTTTAACAATGCCATCAGTCTACATTCCTCGTATGTGATGCAATGATTGGTCAGGATCAAACATAAGAATTATGTCTGGAGCACTGTAAAGATAAGCCTCTCGTTGTCTGGACGAGTAGTTAAATATTAATGGCAGAACACATCAGCTGAGAGAGACTGAAGTATAGAACCACTGAGAGGGGTCACATTTTAAATTCAGGCTAAAATGTGTAAGAGAGTACATGGCTATGTCTTAGAAAAACAAAAAGAACATTGACATGTAGCTTCGTCATGTAAAAGCAGTAAAAGCTTCGCCGTCGTATCGTACCTGGTCACCCGTGAGTGCTTTAGGGGTCATGGGCTCTGGGTCAGATGTTGATAACCTGGGTGATTTGGGTTCCTCCTGAGGTTTAGAGCAGAGCTCCTCGGCTTCAGATGTGATTTCTGGAACAACAACGTCTCAAGGTCAGGTTGCATTAACAGCAGGGATGGGATTATGCAATACAAAAAGGAAGAAGAGTGCCATAGCACTGCCTTTCACACAGCCAGTGAGGGAACAGAGTGTGCAGTTCAAGGGACAAGCTCATTCCTATAGTGCTAACGAGGGTTGACCACTGTTTGTTAGCAGGTAGAGGCACAACCTACCCTGGAAGCTGGGTCTGGCTTCGGGCTTTGTGGCCCAGCATCGCTGCATGAGGGTCAGGAAGCCTGTGCAGGCTGAAGGTCGACATCGTGGCACCGCTCCCAGGTCTGGACGCACCCCTTTCACCACCTTCACCATGATCTGCAGGATATTGTTCTCTCCTGAGGGGCAAAATCATGCAGTACTTCAGTTTCTAAAAGTCCTTTTTGTTTCACTCAAAAAGCATGTGGTCAAAAGTCTGAGTCTGCTATAATGCTTTTTCTGGTAATGACACATAGAACCAGCGTCTATCGTTATGCCATCATCGCTTCTTTATCGTCGCCATCGTCCTCAGAAAGAGAAGTGCGTGGTCTGTTGTTTCCCACGGAAGCACTCCGAGCTCCTCGTCTAGCCAATTCTATCTGAATGTGGGATCAGCCAAGTCAGTGATTCAGAACAAACAGGTGGAGGCTTTACAGCTACTTCACCTCCTATTGTAGCCGTAATACCCTTTGCAGGTGGAGGAGGAAAACGGGAAGGGATGGTAAACAGGCCACTTATCACTTTTTAATTATATCTGGATCAACAGAGGCGGTGCCAGTGCCAACCCAGCTACCTCACCTTGGCACCGGGCTTCAGAAAGTGAACTGCTACCTGATACGCCTGGGAAAAAACATCGTGCTTGCCAGTCTGGCCCTGTCCACCTGCCTCCTCTGGAATTTACAGAGTAAACACAAACTACAGCTTCTGTGTGCAGAGCCCCACACACACACACACACACACACACACCTTGAAAGGTGCAACTATTTTTACCTTGTGCTAACTGGAAATTTAGAGAGTCGAATCCAGCAAGTAAAATGATACAACTAGATTGAAAGTCGATTTATTAAGTAGAAGATTGTGTAGAATTGGAGTTTAGAGCTTCTGTTATAAATAAGCAAACTTGTTAATAACTTATTTAGCCAGTTCAGCCATCTCTTGTGGCCAAACTACAGAAAAAGGTATTTCTATTGAGTACATTTATAGTCCATCTGTCAAGCAGAGCCACTCCAGTGGAAAATGGGGAGACACTAAGTTGAGGGGAAATTTTAAAAAAAGGTTTTCTGATGATAAATAACGCTGACCTGTTTTCTAAAACTCATCATGGACCTTTTATTTGTTACTGATTGTTTACAGATGTTACAGAGGTAGGGGAGGCATGCCACACGAACTACTAGACCTGCTGTTCTAGCTAAACTATCAGACTGACATTGGTGATCATAAAAGACACGGTTGGATGGACATCTCGTTGGATGGCTCACCTTGATAGGGTTTCTTCTGTGTGAGAATCCCCCAGATCACGATAGAGAAACTGGAAAACAGGCAAAAATATACATATAAATATATATAAATCTTTCATGGAATAGGTCTGAGATGTCAGGTTGTGCAGCAGTCCGTAGAAGACTGTGTAAATAAAGTACATTTACCCTACTCTACAAGTTCTACTTTAGGGAATGAAATTTCCATTTCCACTGTAGGAATAAGTTACTTATTTCCTTTAACAGACAAAGTATCATACCAAATCCATGTGATTAATCTTAGTGTGAGTCAGAGCTTAACTGAACACACAAAATGACACAAAATGTCCCAACAACAACAAAAAAAACCCTGCGTTCACACAAAAAGCTTGCATGCAAAGTGCATGAAAAAAAAGCCCAACCTGTAAACATCGTGCTTGGTGTCCGACACTCTGTCCTTCTCTATGATGCTCTCAGGGGGAAGGTAGGCAATAGTGCCGCAGAAGCCGTCTCTACTGATGTCATCAGCCCGTGACAAGCCGTTCCAGCGGGCCAGCCCAAAATCAGATATCTGAGACAGAAAGAGATCAGATAAGACCCTCCAGTAGAGCAACCCCTCTGCCTTTCTCATGAAACACCACGGCGGTGATGACTAACTTTGCCCGCTGACTATGACAGGTTGCTAAGCTCTTATTATGTGCACTCAGCGGTATGATGAGGGCAACCCAGCCATGTCCCAGCCTGCAGGAGAGGAGAGGCCCTTCAGATTTGTGTTGGGGAGTGCACACCCACACACACATACACACACACAGACAAGGAGATTTAATAGGAGCTAAATTAATCCTGTTGGGACAAGCCCAGGTGAGGTGTTTACATCCAGGTATTAAACACTAGAAATGACGGTTCCCACCCATTACTCTTAGTACAGCTTAGCTGTTTTGGTTGGACAGAGGCTAGGAGACACCTGTAGACAAAAAACATGTGTAGGACTAATTTAAGAATGATGAAGGGGAGCAGAAAAGCACCTCATGACTGGGATTTCTCCTGAAAGCGCCAAACAAACAGTTTTAAAACAAAGAGGGCTGTGGTTTCACTTCATGTCTGAGCTTTCTTCTAGCATTAAAACATGACATCATCACATTTCCATAAACATACTGTAGATTTCCATAGTTGCTTATTCCATTACAAATTACAGAAAGCAAAAGGATCGTGCAAACAACAACAAACACACACCTGGGTCAAAACTAAAGATCACAACAAACTGTGTGCGTGTGTTTCCTCCCTTCTAAGCTTCATCACAAACTCTCTACCTTGACGTGATAGTGAGCATCCAGCAGGATGTTGGCCGGCTTCAGGTCCAGATGGAGCAGCGGTGGGTTCATGCAGTGCAGGAAGTTCATTCCCACCGCAGTCTCGTGGATGATGCGAAAGCGGAGCTCCCAGGGCAGCGGCTCATTGGCCAGCAGGGTCTCCAGTGAGCCGGTCTCCATGTACTCCATGACCAGCCCCTGGGGGTCTTCACAGATCCCGTACACAGGCAGGATGTATCGGAACTTGGCTGCCTCCATCTTTTTAGCTTCCTCGAGCAGCTCGGAACGATCCCTGTGTTCAAGGAGGAAAATAAAAATAAAAGATCACGGACTACACAACACTGCATTTTATTGCGTTTCCTGAACCAGGCTCTGTCGCTGAGGGTGACCCAGCAGTTCTTAACAGAGCAAAAAAAACATCCACCAGTTTACTGCTGCTTTTCCACTCATCCACTCATCCTGGGGGTTTGGGGGAGGGTGGGGGTGCCGCAGCTGAAATCTGTTTTGAAGTTATTTGGGTGATCGCTTTTTTAAAACAAAGGCTCACACATTCCTCGACTCATGGTTATCTATCAAACCTGCCCTCCCATAAAACATTAACATGATGACTTTGAAGTCACGCTTTGCTCATTAAGCTGCAATAGTTGGTATAACTTTTTGTCCTAACCAAAATTCCTGCACATCACACATCATCCTTACTGAGCTCTTAGCTATGCCAAATATTTATGAACATTAACCTTGAAGGGTGTAGAGGCGTGACCTCTGTATACAACTATAATCCAGGTCTTCCCCGGCTGCTGGTTCTGCTCAAGACAGTCCACCTTGGTCTGCAGAGCATGTGGAGCTCAAACCCAGCTCTTGTTCTCTGCCGCTCAACCTTTGCGCACAGTGCCCCTTATCAGTCTGCCGGGCCTGCTGACATACCTCAAACACAATTGTGTGGGCCATTCATGACCTCACTGCATGCCTTAAGCAAAGGTTGCTTTTAAAATGGAGCCTCTTGATGAGAGAGATAAATCACTGTTCGTGAGTTTATTTGTAGGAATGTGTTCCAGAGGCAGAGCTGGAGTAGGGCTTCTGTTTTTCTATCATCAACGAAAAGAAATTAGACGAACATAAGAAAGTTCGAAACATAGTTTGTCATTAATTTAAAAATATATATATAAAGAAGTGTGTGTCTGGTTATAATAGTTCTTTGTGGCAGTACAAGTGAAGGAGGTACGGATCTCCCCGAATCTGCCTGGTAGGAATAATCAAACATGTCATGGAAGAACGGGCTAGCGCTTGTTTGCGAAGTACTTCATCTAATCCAAAGTGCTGCTCAGCGGCTCTGCTGAACCAAACAATGTCCCTGTTTTAACAGAGAGGCCCGGTAAGACCGGTTCTGCGGCTTCTCGTATTGTCTGTGCCACACAGTGGCAGCCTGCGACACAGGCACACAAAGGTGGCTTTGAGTCCTGGCTGCTGGATGTTATGTGTGTCTGAACGACGGTCGCAGTCAAATGACTGTTTATGCGCTCTGCAGATGTTTGAGGGTGATAGTATCTTTGGTTCGGCCGCATCGGATGCTACAAGTCGCACCGCAGGTTTGGGGGGAAGTCGTCACGTCGTCAAAGTTCCTGTTTTGGTCACAGTGACTAGATAAGAAAATCGGACTGTCTTTGTTGCATCAGTGTAGCTGAGGATTGATGTCAGTGATGATTTATATCAATAAACCAACTTTTTTTTTTTTAAATAAAGAGGTTTTATCACCAATCAGCAGCTGGGCTAGGCTCCAGCCCCCCTGTGACCCTGAAGTGGATAAGGGGAAGAAAATGGATGAATGGATCTTGTCAGTTAATATTTCTAATGTGTGGCTGATGAAGTCAGTTTGTGTATGCAGAGTTACATGGAAATGGAAACTTCCATTCTTCCAAAGCTGGTTTGAGGCAGGTCAGCCTCAAACACACTCGAGAAATGTACAGCTCACTAATTTTCCTTTCATTTGTGAGATCCTGGCAGAGCAAACGAGGGATTTATCAGTCTGAAGTATGAAAGAGAATTCTAGATGGTGATGTAACTTGTAGACCATTCTGCCCACCTATTGAAATGTCCACAACACTGTTTATTGGGGAGATCAGCAGTTAAGCTTTCATAGCAGGAAAAGCAAACAGCTCTCAGCACTGTGGAGCTGCCCCAGAGATCAACCTGCATGCCAGTGCTCCCTCCAACACAACTCAGCAGTGTCGAAATATCCAAACATGCCCTCTTGCTTAGCGTTGAGGCACCTTTACAGCCCCCATAGTGTTTCTAGGCTGGCAGAGGATGAGTCACACGTTATCTGGTGTTCACTTTCTCATGCCTGCGTCTAGCATTTGCCCAGAGATTTCTTCAAACGATCACGCTGGCATAAAAGGACCTGGTTCAGACTGATTTCTACATCCGGAACTTAGAAAGACCAAAAACACAGGAAGCATCTGAACTATGCCAGAGGACAATACTACTTTTTTCATCAACACCAGGAAAAGATGAACACTAAACAGCTGTGACTTACTTATCATCCACATGAAGGCAGGGAGGGCACTTGATAGCCAGCCATGTTTTCCACTGTACATGCCGGACTTTGTATACTTGTCCAAATCCACCTGAGCCTATTTTCTCCCAGCTTCCAAACTCAGAGGAATCAAAGGTCCTTAACAGCCCCATATTCCCGTGTGGAGAATCCGGGATATCCATATCCATGTTGAGAAACCCGCAAGCAGGGTAAACTCCTTTTTCTTCTTTGACTCCAACCACAAAATCAGGTGAAGTGAACACTCACACACCACCTACCTACTTGTGGGCTCTTCCTTGTTTTTCCCCTCGTCTAGCTCAGCACAGCTCCTCCCTCTATTCAGGTGAAAAGGAGGGGCTGGGCCTGTGTTGCTGCACTGTGACATCATCCCCTGGTTTTGAAACACAGAGCAGAGATGGAAAAGTTCACTGGAGGAACTTGACAAGCCACACCACACTGCCACCGAAAGGCTTTACACATGTGCTTTCCAAATGTCCTGAAGCCCCACGCTGTCTCATATATGCTCCGAGAAAGCAGGAGAACGGTCTCTGCAACAAAGCCATGAAGTCAGGAAGCTATTTCATAAACACACCTTTGTCCCACCGTGGTCCATTTTACTGCTAAAGCCGCCTGAGGTGGGTTACGTGATATTGACCCAGCGGTTATAGAATGTGTGGACTCACCTTTTGCTCAGCTGAGGGAACAATGTGTTCTGTTACAGCTGTTACAGTTACTACCAGTGACAAAGATCTGTGTTATTTAACATATTTCATTTCCATGCAGGCCTTTAATCTCCACATTCTCTGCTACTCCATACATATGCTTTCAATAATTCATATGTTCATTAAATGCCTTCTGCAGATACACCGCATCGATCTAAGGACGCACGCACACAGGAGTTTTGTTTCATATCTGTTGTGTGCTTAAATTAAAATTGTATTCATTTGGGTTGCCAGTTAATGAGTGTGACACTTTTTCCTGTGTGCACCTGTCCTACAGGTGTGTGTTGGATACTTTTTAAGTTCAAGGTCAGAAATAAAATATCAGCTGTGGAGCTGATAGAGCTACAGCATATCTATTCAAGGACACCTCCTGCACGCAGGAACCTGCTGGTAAATTATTTATTTTTGTGCTATCATAAAAAGAAGATTAGCCTGTTATCTGCGACTGCTCTGTTTTAGAAACGTTCTTACATATCGTACTTTAGACTGACTTTGGGTTTTTGAAATCATGGGATTATTTTCTGCGAGGTTGGTTCAGGGAGACATTTTGCCTCAAATCCCAAACACCGGATTATAACGTCTCTCGGATTAAGACCTTTTTGCCCTCGTCCCCATTCTCTGCCCTCCCACCTCTCACAGCAGACGAGTGTCGTTCCTCAGCCTCATTCTGCAGAATGACTCTTCCTGTTTAAAGGGAGTTCTTCCTCACCGCTGTCACCAAGTGCATCCTCATAGGTGACTGCTCTCTCTCTCTCTGATATAGTAGCTTCTTTACTTTACTATATAGAGCACCTTGAGGCAACTGTTGTTGTGGAAAACTAAACAGAATAAACATAACGAGCCCCTTCCTCAAATTATTATCTAAACTGTTAGATAATAAACATGATTAAGCTTTTAAGTTAAATATGAAAATGATTGTTGTAGTTGAACTATTCCAAAATTCCCTCTCTTGGACTTTACCAAAACAGTGCTCCTCTAGTGTTCTTCAGCTTGCGTGGGCAACGGTACGCGACTGTAAAAGCACGATTTCTCCAAACGTGTGAATTTGTTCTGTGTTGCCGTTTGCTAGTGTCTGACAAACCAACCTCTCTGTTTACCTCTGCTTAAGATGTGATATCACCTCCCTGCACCCCAGAGTTAATGAGAAAACTGGAATGACCAGGTAGGAGGTATAAATATGTTATCTGGGAGGATGCTGGGACAATGAGCAGATCTTAGTGGTATGTGAGGAGCCAGGCGGCCTGGTGGCTTCCATCACTGCAGCAGTTATCAGTGTTCAGCTCCCTGAGGCTCTGCAGAAAGACCGGGGGAGCAGTTACTGTAGAAGGGGAAAGCTGCAGGGCCTTTTGAGTGTGTGTGCACTCTCTCTTAGTCATTAGAATCAAAGACAAACATGTATGAAATGGTATTAAACGTGTCTTTTTACCTGCTTTTATTTATCTGATTAAAACCAAACCAATCAGGACCGTCTTCTGTTAATTACAAACACAACTAAGCCTAAACGATCTGCAACAGGGAGCGCGAGGTAGCGCCAACAGTGTAGAAATATAAATGATTGTCTAATTGATGTTAAAACATATTAATGACTGCAGTCTTATGGTTTAAGAATGCCACAGAGGAAGTGTCAGCCTGCGACAGCCTGTGTGTGTTGGCATCGTGTTTGCTTCTGACATCTTTCCAGTATGCTTTGTTCTTCCCATCATGCACTTTGTCCCCTCGGGCTGTGCGTGGGCACACATATTACCATAGATGCAGAAGGTGGTGGCGTGTTTATGAATGTTTTAATGAGTGAACACAATGGGTGCAAGGAATTCAAAGTCGTGAGCGGAAAATCAACATCAAATAGTTGTCAGTGGAACTTTATCGCCATCTACTGGAGGTAGTTTCATATTCACTCATTGAGCTTGGGGATGAGATATGAGACCTCATGTAAATAGAACAAAACAATAGAAAGCAAAGCTGATTCGACCTTTCTAAATACTGGAGAATCTGGGTTTTTTTCTAGAAGCAGGTCAATAATCCTGTACCCACGTCAGCCATGTTTAAACAACATTAAACATCTGTGTGCTCGTGATCCAGGTTTATTAAAGTTTACATACTATAGCCTGTAAATTATAACCTTCCCCTCTAACCCTCATCCAACTAATCACACACACACGTGCTTCCTTCTGTATCTAAACATCTTGTCTTACAACCACGTGAAACTCGTACTCTTGAGTGCGAGTGGAATTCACGGTTCAGTATCTTGCCCAAGGACACTTCGACGTGCCGACTGGAAGAGCCAAGGATCAAACCGCCAACTTTCCGACTGGACTGCTCCACCTCCCGAGACACAGCCACCCAGTGTGTTGGCCTTTTTTTTAGAAATTCGGAAAAGTAGAATGGAAGGAGAGTCTGCTGACAGACATGCTCTTTTAAGATGAAGCTTTTAGCGTTTCTTTTGATAAAGCTTGTAGTTAGGGCTGGTTCCATAAGCCACTCTGCATGTCATTAGCCTTTGTCTCCTGTAGTTTGTGTTTTGTCCTGTTTGAGGTCTCTACACTCCTTCAGTCTCAGGCGGCTGCCTCTCCTCAGATTGTTTCTTAGACTAAGAGGCTGGAAAGTGTGTAAACACTGAGCCAGTAACATGAGTGAGTGCTTGATTGATCTACTAACTACTGACAAAACATTCATATTCCACTGACTCGCAGTTTCTAAATAACAGTGAGTTAGTCTGTAAATCAAGAGTCAGAAAAGCTAAAACTAACCTGACTAACCCTTAACATAAGACCGAGTGTGGTATTTATTTTAAAAAGAACATTTCATAATCAGAATCGTGTTTATTGGCCAAGTATGTGCAGACACATACAAGGAATTTGGTTCCGGTGGCTCTCGAGTACATTTAAACTTAACATAGTTCTGTATCACATAATTCTGTAACTCGTATAAGTAACATGGATCTCACCGGGTGTTCCCAGGAAGATTCTGTTGTATATTCAGCAGGAGAAATGTTTCATCACTTATCCAAGGGACTTCTTCAGCCTCTCCAGTGTTAAAAACAGTACATTTGCCTAATGATTGAAACTAGCACCACTGACTAACAATGGGCCTCGAGGTCAGTTTCATGACAAGATGTAAATTCATGTAAACTGATGCAAATTGTCATGACAATTGATCAACGGCTGCAATCACAGCATTGCAAGAGGATGAACGATGTCTCCTTAGGTCCCCTCCTCAGTTCAGAGACGCTCGTTCACTTTTTGTGTAGGTTTTGTCTTACTTCTCTCTATCACCTTTTTTATCCCTTGGAAGAAGCGACACTCCATAAATGCTAAAGAGGTAAGTATTATTTCTCAGTTGCAGTGAATAGATAGAAGAAAATAAGCTGTAGAAAACTGAGAAGAAAGAAGAGAAATAACAATTTAACATAAACCAGTGACACACTCAGGGGCCTGATCAGGCAGGGCCTCCTTGGATGAGGGTGCCTATTGATAATGGCCGAAACACCCGATGAATGCAAGGTCCACTACTGACGATGTGTCCCAAATTTAAAATGATAATTTAGATCAGATCTCTAATCCCTAAACCTAACTAAGGAGGAAAATGGCAGATTAGCCTGGGTAAAAGACCGAAAGTTGAGGCACACAACGATGTGTGCTGCTGATAAAAGCGTCTGGGCTTTCCTCATAACAGCCATCCCTCAAGATTCCCTCTATTTAATGTAATGCATTATCAGGGACTGTAACATCCTTTTACTCAATCATGACAAGATGTAAATTCATGTAAATTGTCATGACAATTGATCAACGGCTGCAATCACAGCATTGCAAGAGGATGGACGATGTCTCCTTAGGTCCCCTCCTCGGTTCAGAGATGCTCGTTCACTTTTTGTGTATTTGTCTCCTCGACTCTCCCGAAACTAAAAACACAAATATTCTCAATAAGTACCTTTATTTACCAATTAGCTAACATCTTTGTCATGATATGGTAACTCGTAATCACTTCATACAGTGTAAGCTAACCTTTGCGCACTAACTTTAAGCTGGCGCCACAAAGATAAAACAACAGCACTCCTGTTGTTCTAACAATCACTGTTTAAATTATATCGATTTAAATGGTCTTACCTTCAAAAACTGCCTTAACTGGCAGAAGTCGGTTTAGTGTGAAGTGAGCTTTATTGGTTCCCCTTGAACCAGATCTGGAGCATTCGTGTATCCCTGGGTTTGATAATAAGTACTTATCATGATCAAGCTGCCTGTTCTCATCAGGCCAAAACCACTTTCAGACTACCAGAAATGTCCTGGTGTTTCCAGTACAGTAGGCTACACTGCTGCATGGAGGCTTTGTCCTCAAGAGAAGGGGAATGTTGCTCTAATTTATTTTAATCCTAAAGAATTTGGCTTAATGTGATTTAAAGAAAAGAAACTTCAACCTCAAACAAATGTTGAAGCTGAACGGTTTTACTGTTAATCTCTCACTCAAGAAAAAGTTTTACGGTCTCTTAGCAGCAAATAACGTAATCCTTTGCAGAGGATGTAGAGGGTAAATAAATGATGAGCCATTGTCAGTGCAATATTAACGGTGCAGGCCTGCAGAGGGCCAGGAGTGACAAAATGAATTAAATAAATGA